GATGTTGTATCGTCTAGGCGAAGGAACTGTAGAACATTAATTAGTATATTGACAGGTCATTGTCTGGTTGCATTTCATGCGCACTAACTAAAGCTAGTTCACAGCGATGTTTGTAGAAAATATAACGAGCCGGATGCAAAGGAAACCTTGGCGCATCTGTTGTGTAACTGCCCGTTCTCTCGAGAACTCGATAAAAATACTTGGGGACTAAAGGTTTTACCGGACTGAAGTACATATCTGAGGTTTATGTTGAAATCCTAATAAAATTCGTTAATAACACGCGCATCCTGAGCGATGCACAGTATCGCTAAAAAAAGAAATTAACACTATGATTTTGTATTGCAATAGACTTTAATGGTCTACGCGTGGCCTTTTTGGTGTGTTAGTATAACCTAACCTAACTTACTCATAAGATACGTGAGTAAGTTATTCGTAGTAATTATCACTCATTGCTTTTGCCGCCTTCTTCACGAAACACCAAATCGATGATCTAGAGGGAGCTACTTTTGGGCACAGGGATGGTTTTATAAGGTTAGAGTCCTTGCATGTTTATCGATAACATCTAGCAATAAAAAAAATGGGTCTACACCCAGCGTCCTCAGAGTCCAACATTGATCATATAGGTTTATTTTACCTTCTTGCTTGGTTATTTCACAAGTCATTGACCCGTACTTTTCCTATCCTCTTCAGAATTCAATACTTAAGCTCCTAATGTAGTATGGATATAATTATATAGCTATTTGGGTATAGCAGATTTTTATAAAGGAGTTAAAACTTCTTTAGATTTGCTTGCGTACTGTACAGAACACTATAGCCTATATTGTGATATTTTGTGTGTAGTCTTACTTTAGAATTTGTCACCTTATATCATATACATATATCATATACATATATGCATAAATATATTGTCTTTATATTTAATTTTTTTCTCATATTGTTTGTTGTTTTGTTCTTTTTGTTATTTCCATAAGCTTAGCGCAATAAAGAAAATTTCTAAAGTCCACAGTTCGATGTCGCATTCCTTAAACAATTAAATTCAATTAAAATTAATAAATCTGAGGCATTGGAATAAATTAAATGGCTAATAGAGTAACTGATACTCATGTGAATTCTTCGCATATTTATATATAAAAACTACAAATACAAAATAATAAATAAATAAATGAATGTGTATCGTCTTAACATATCAAAGGGGGCGTCAATTGCATGATAAATGATATGAGTTCAGACTCTTTTCAATTGAAAGCTGGGGCTTCAAAAGCCATTGAAGAGGAAAAACGTAGTATTTTCTTAAAATTCATAAAAACAATAAAATGATTAAAAATAAGAACTCTAAATTCTTTGTTTTTATAAATAATTAAAAGTGCTTTATTAAATCTCCTATGAAAATATTTTTAGCTGTGGCTAATTTTATCTCAAATTGTTGTTAAGAAATAATTAAAACAATATTAATAAGATTTAAAAATATTGTAGACAAGCTTTATCTGTTAAGGTACACAATAGAGCACAAATCTTAAAAATATTTCTGGTTTTTCTGTAAAAACCAGAAAAAATGGCCTTGTCTGAGACCGAAAAATATGCCGAAAATATTAAACTGAAGTTCTTCTCCTCTGCCATATTAGTTTTATGTATAGATTTATCTCACCTAATGCCAGCTATTGTGTTTCCATATACTGGCATTAATAGTTTCTATTTACATATTTATTTATTATTCATGCTTTTGTACGAGTATCTACAAAAATGGTGAAGAACGATTACACAAGTCTATTGAAAAATGCGAACTCATTATGTTAGTAATGCTCCGGATCGATGTAGGTAAATGTGATTATGGGTGTGTGGCACATTTTTTGTTCCCAAAATCACGGAACTTGGTTTACTTAATTTATTTTTCTTTATTGCTTGTTTAATTCTTAAATAATTCATTTACGATTATTTAATGTTATTAAACAAAAATTCTTATCAGCTACAAAATATTGTTTATTGTTAATAAATTAATAAAAAAAAATATATAATATTCCTACATATAAATATTTTTTTTTATTTTATTAAAAATAAACTGAGTATGTACACAAAATTAAATTAAAATAATTATTTTCACGTGTAAATAAAAATTTTATAGAATTTCTAGATGTGTCTTGAAGACAACTTTTAAAGGAAAGTTGTGAGGCAATATATTAAGTTACAATATATGAATATGTACAGTAAATTTAAGTTTTTCGCAACTTTTTTCTTATCGTAGCAATCGTTAAGTAACTTGTAAAATTTGATTAATGATACCCGAACAAAGTTGTGAGGTTAATATCGTCTATTACTACTCAATCTCAATCAAAAATTAATAATAAACGAACTGCTACTATAGTGTTATTTAACCTTTATACTCCACCAATTTATTTATTTAGCATACCCCACTTATTTATTATTAAGATGGAATGTGGCACTGCGAATGTCTGGTCTGTTATGCCACCTTCTAGGCTTAGACTAAGTCTTTCAGTCCTGTTATGTCAATAAAAAGTATTATAAAACCTACTTTACTGAGTGTTCTTGCCACTTCCGTAAAGATATATATTCTATGGACTCTATTCCGCGTGTGCAAATTAAAAAATATTACTATTGTTGCTATTATATTTTTTATAAAAAAGAGCCAAAGTCAATTTTATTCTATCGGTTCTAACTTAACACTCTAACGTAATAATAATAAGCTTTACTCATTTTGCACATATGCACCTGCATTACGGATGAGGTGCAAAGCAAATATAATAGCGCTAGCCGTACTCCCAGAGAAGTAATTTATATATTTAATGTTTCGTTCGTTAACTTACATTAGCGCAGGGCATTCCAACAGCACATGTGTGGCTGACAGTTCATTCTCTTCGCAGTATACACAGTCTGCATCCGTAGTAAACACAGTATCCTTTTAAGATTCCTATGATGAATCTAAGTTTTTCTTTTGATAAGTCCATACAATCCCCTGAATCTCATATCTCTTATAGGTACCATTAAATGATTTGGATTGTGCTAATACTGGCAGATTATTGCAGTATTTCTTTTTGTTTTGGTTCTCCATAATTTTTATGAGAAAGAGGAGGGTACCACGTCCTAATCTACGGAAAAATTCTGACCCCTTTATTGGTGTGGCTATTCTTTTACTGGTTATTCATTTCAGAGTATTTCATTTTATTTCTGCGTATTCATGCCTCACTTAAAGCTTTAACGAATTAAAACGTAACATTTCTATTTAACATATAAAAGTAGCGCTCAAAGAAGATTCAACACTCAGTCCAGTATCATCTTGTTTTTTACGATTCATTACTGTTTTCTTGCTTTTGCTGCATTAAATACTAAATACCCTGCAGAAATTTAATAAATCTATATAATAATCTATATAATAAAAAATAAACTTTTTATTATATAGATTTTTTAACTTCAACAAAATATTTCTTTTCTTCGGAAGTCTAAAAATATGTCCAAGAAAAACATTTTTATCACATTGATACTTAAGGTTAAAAAACAAGATGAACAATCAGGTTACAATAAATAAGCTGTGCTGTAGTTTTTTAAAAATAAAGACTTATGCCTTACCTAGCCCCTTTAATCGAGCTGACCGAAAGATCGATTGGACCCAAGTTAGTGCATTGAGCATTGAGACATGAAAACAGATGGGTGACAACATGGGAGGTATAGCTGCAGTTAGAGCACCCATTTCGAATTAATGTATTTACGCGTGAGTATTAACTGTTACACATGACTACATCCTGATCTCAAATGTGTTACAACAGTTTTTGTTGCACGTGATGGGGGTCATTCCTCCCAGAACATATTGAGTGGAGGCCTATTAAGAATTTGCAACCGTAAAGGATACTGCATCCATGTGGAGGGTTGTAAGTTTACGTTTGTCAAATACCTATCATACGTGGTCATTAGCAATAACTCATAATTTTAAAACCACTGATGATAAGTATATCATGATAATAGATCGGTTACGGTCAGTCAGTAATTTCAATCATTTGAAATTCTTTTAAAAGAAAGGAACATATTTTAATGTTGATTTTCGATCACTATTGTTTCTCCAGCTCTACTGGTCTTATTTTATATTGTACGTTTCTTCTTGTCGAAACTTCATTCTTCTGTGTGACATTTGCATAACACTTAAACCTTCAACTAATGCCTTTATCTTGACTGACTCATAAGCATCGTTGCTGCTGGCAACTAATCTTGGTTTGTGTTCTAATATTACTGAAACCCTCTCTGAATCACTTGCTAATTCTGCATTTAAGCGATAAACTGTGATAGTACATTTATAGAAATTACTTGTGAAAGTAATTATTTTGAACAAGATTAAGACTCTTGAAATAATTTTTTTGAGTAAGTAAGTAACATATTTTAAATGTAAATATTAAATTATTTTTTTTTATTTCTTTTTAAGATTTGAATTTGATTTTATTTTATATATAATTTTGTTTTTTTCTGTGTATAAATTAAGTAACAAATTTTGTTTTATCTAAAACTTAAAGCTACGCTTAATATGAGCAATAACAAAACAATTTGTATAAAATAAGTACATACAATTTTCCTCTAAGTACGAATTAATTAATCACAAATTACATATAATTAAAAAGTTTTTAATTTACCTACAAATAATATAATAATTAAATAATTTATTGTTTTAATAATCAAGCTTTTTTATATACTTTTGATTGGGCTAATTGATCAATATTAAATAATATACAACAGATATTTCAACTACAGTTTGTAGACACTTTCAAATGAGTACCCTAATATATATATATATAGTCGAAATATCTGTTACAAAAAAATATATTTCAAAAACAAATTAAACAGGTTGTGTTTATTAGAATTTATATATTATTGTCACCGATATTTCGACTATAGCTTATAGTCACCTTCAGGTAAGTACCCTGATACATAGATATATATATATATAGTCGAAATTTCGGTTACAATAAAATATATTTTAAAAACTAATTTAATAATTGCGTTTTATTTAACACTGAACAGTTAGCCCCTTAAAAAAAATATAAATAAAAATTAAATTAAAATCTAAACTTAAAAATTATTGGCATAATGTATGTGTAGGCTGCTCTAGATAGCGTGCTCTATTGAACCCATAGATCTTTTGCGTTCATTAACCTCGAAACGCTGCATAATTTTCGCCACAATTGTTGAGGGTGGTATATCAGGATTGCCAGTCAAACCACGATAGCCGAGTACACTGTGATCTGCTAAATTACTTGCCAATTGAAGACGTTTAACAAAGGCGTCCGTATCAATGCCACGTACTTGTGAGGGCTTAAGAAAACGTTTTGGTATGCGTGAAAGTATATCTTCTGAACCGACTGGTCCAAAACCTAAATTTATAAGTATGGCTTCTGGATCTGGCTTACGTGCTTCCAACAAACTATCCACGCTGGAATAATGACTAGAATCTGAATGTATAGAATTATCACGCGGCAGAAATACAAAATTATGTCGCCTACTTATTGGACTCATATCGGCGCCAGTAGAATTCGAATCAAAGGAATCAGCATGTTTAAATTGATGTGATTTATTTGTAGGCGATGTAGGTGATGAAGGTGAATCTGTTGTTATTGTTGTACTTAAGCTATCGTCCTGTGATAAGTGACTTTTTTGATATGGCAACTGACGCTTTGTACGTTCATTTGTAGTGATATTCTTAGGTAATATTTGTGTAAGTGTACTTTCAAAATCTAAAACATTTTCACAAATTTCATTCACTTCATATTCATCATCCTCATATTCCTCTTCCGCTGCATATTCCATGTCATCATCTAATTCTGCTGTTTTTTGTCGTTGCAATTGCCTTTTACGTTTCAATTGCAGTGTATTGGATATGGTCACAGCATCTATATTATCACTACTTCCGCTAATGGCTTGCTGGATTTGTTGTTGTTTTTGTAGTTTACGTGTGCGCCTTACGTTTTTCGTTTTACTCAACGTAATTGTGGATAGTTTGCTGTTGATGACGTTGTTGTTGTTGTTGTTGTTGTCATCTTCACTTAACTCAAAGTGTGTGTAACTTTGTGAGCGCTCCATTGTTAGTGCTTATTCGCTATTGGCAAGGATTTAAGGTAGCTTCAGAGATTTGTTACAGTTTTAGCTTTGAGTTGTTTTTGTAAATTGTAACGAATATGAAGAAAAATGTTATAAAATTGTTGTTGCTTATTATATGTTATAAGTTTACTTTGTTTTTACTTAGATTTTTACAGCATTTAAGTTAAGTACGTAATTAAAAATAAGCTTTGCGGTTTCGGTATGGTGCCTTCTGGTTATGGCTGCTCAGGTTTCATGTAGTGTTTTATAATTATTTTTATTTTTTTTCTTAATTTGGCATTAGCTAATCTTCACTGGCTCGTGTCAAAAATAAAAAACAATTGAGACAAATGTATGATTTATTTTTATTTAGTTCAGTTTTTTTTCCCTTTGAAAATTTAATATTTTTATAATTCTATTGCTGAAGTAATTAGCCAAAAACACTTGTGTTAATTGTTCAATAAATGAAATAATTTTTTGTTGGTTTTTTTTTGTGTTTTTTTGTTAATATATTTTTTATTTGCTTATTATGTACTTTGTTTATATGCCGCTGTCAATGTATTTGTTTTTATTTAATTTAAAATGTGTTAATCGCGAAAGCTCCGGAATAATTCTTGAGTTTGAAACTCGTCTTTAGTCTTTAAATAATGAGAAATAAAATATCGAATTATTTCTGCTACGTTATTAACTATTTACGGTAGTTTTCATAAAATATTTCTGTTTTGCAGTTTTTGCACTTTTAAGTGTATTGGCATTGAATTGCTTTTATTGTAGCTTTAAGTTTTTTTCGTATTACACTTCAAAAAAACAAAAAACAAAAAACAAAAAAAATCAATCAATTGTTTTGCTTTTGTTTGTTATTAATTATATGTAAAGAGTTTGTTGTTGTTGTTTTTTAACTTTGTTCAATAACCTCGTGACCTTTTTTGTAAAACAACTTTCAGTTTTGCAAAAATATTTTTATTTTTATTATATTTATTTTATTAGTTTATTTTAATTTCATAAATAATTTTAATTCAACACAAACTATTATTTTAAGTAAAGTTTTTATTTTTTTTTAATTAATTTAATTTAATTTAATTATTTTATTAGTCTCCACACAAAAAGAAATTTTTATAAAAATATTTTTTTTTATTTTTAGTTTAAATTTGTTTATGATAATTTATTTTATTTTATTGAATTCTTAAATTTTTCCCGCTGTTAAGCGTAAAAAGTTCCAACCGAAAGCAAACCAAGTCCGCTTGTCTCTGAAACTGTTAAGTACGAAGCGCAGCTCATATGCTACTCTTGTCAACTGTTGTTGTACGTTTATTATCGCCTACTAAAATCCCCTTGAAAAAGTTTTCATTTCGTTTTTTTCTGTTTTTCTTCTTCTTTTATTTGCTCTCAGTGTATGGAGCACGCCATACTCATATGAAAAAGGCAAAAATATTAAACCAAATTCCAACGTTGTTAACGTGATCGCTCTTCACTATTTACTCTCATTAATCTTAGTATTGTTTGCTGTTGTTGTTGTTGTTGCTTGCTGTCGATAACTTGTTTAGTGTGTGCAGGAGTGGGCTATTAAATATGGAGCTAAGAAAGCTCAAGCGCCGTTGGTTACTTCGACTCTTTTTGCTAATAAGTTTTAATCGCGCTCTTTGCTGTTTGTCACATTTTTTTTCTTTTTTTTGTTAATTTTTGTAATCGCTGTGCTTATCATTTTTCACTTTTATAAACAAAAATAAAAGAAACGATCGTAAATAAGGCAAAGGCAAATTAAATTGAGTCATATCAGTTTATTTTTCCGTGTATATTAATTTATTTTAATAAACAATTTTAACTCTATGGAGCGTAGTATATTTTAATTATTTATTATTATCAGCTGTAGTTGTATATATTAATAATTAAAAAAAAAAATTAAAAAACAATTATTATTTTACAATCACAAAAAAAAAACCAAAAAATAGTTAATCGTTTTCTAATCTAAGTGAAATCACGATTTTAGTTGATGACTTTTCATATGATTAGGTTGTGATTTTTGTTTACAAAAGCGTGCTCTAATCATTGTAAACAAAAATAATATAACATTTATATAAAGATAGTATGATCTTCGAAAAGGATTTATGATCATACATATATTGAAGATGATCAGTCACATGTTAGCCAGTGATTTTTTTTACAGAAACGTGTTCACACGGAAGAGGTAATAAAACTCTGTAAAGTAGGTTTTATACTTTTTACTAACGCAAAAGGGCTTAGAGACCTGCTCTAAACACAGGAGGGGTAGAATAGACCCGACGGTCGCAGTACTCCATCCACTAACAACAATAGTCATAATAATAAACGTGTTCATAGCAAATATCTGTTGTGAGAAAAATGCTAAAATATTTGTAGAGGAAAGAAGTTTATATTGAGAAAAGAAGTTATGATCATATTTTAAGAATCATGATATGTCAGTGATCAGTGATGATAAGTCAGTTTTTTTAAAGAATCGCGAGACAAATAGATTTTAAAATTACAATAATACATCACTTGTAGAAAATATAGTTTTATCTTAAAGAGGTATTTTTTATCATATATTGAAGATGATCTATACAAGAACTTAATCATAATAAACCTGTGCATGTTCAAGAATGTGTTAAGACGAACATTTTTTACAATTTGTCTATACTAATTTTTAAAAATTTGTATAAAAATAAAACTATATCTTTAGTTTTATATAAAAAAAAGTATTTATGAACATATATTGTTTATAATCATTTATATGGATTTATGATCATATATTAAAGATGAGCTATAGATGAAAATGATCATGAGTAGCCAGTAATTTGTTAAAAAAATTGTGTTCCAGTCATTAATGTGTTAAGATGGAAATAATATAAAGTTTGTAGAGAAAGTAGTATAATCTAAGAAAAAGAGTTAGAATCATATATTGAATATCTACACATGACCATGATAATGAAAACTTATGTTTTCTTAAAGGAAGCGTGTTCAATTCAAGAATGTAAGAAAAAAATAAATAATGTGATGAAAATAGTTTAAGCCTAAAAAAAGAACTTATAGTCATGTATTAATCATGATCAGTTCTTTGATTGTGGTCTATCATTTTTATTACACAAGAAAATGATCAATGAAATTATAAAGATGAAAATTAGTAGGATTATGAATATGTATTGATTTTGACCAGTCGCTTGATTATTAGCCTGACAGAAGTCTGTTCTTATTAAAATTGTGTTAAGACGAAAACAATATATAGTGTTAGGAAGCAACAGTTTAATTTTAAATAAGCGCTATATCTATATTGAATATGATCACACATAGATATTCTTTACGTCGGCGTTATCTATATAGACTATTATAGTATATAATAATATAAAAAAAAAATAAAAACTAGTCTACAAGCTTTGTTTTTTATTCCCCATTCCACTCATTGAAGTAAATTTGTGACTACGAGCCTTAAAGTGCATACTAATTATATTTTTATATCTTATATTAGTTATTTAACTTCCCAAAGTTTACATAAAATCAGAATTGATAGGAAAATATTACACGTTAAAAGCAAATGATTGAGTATACCAAAGCAAAAATCTGATAAAAATATCATAGATAGATAAGCACTTTGGCTTAGATTTGAAAAAAAAGGAGTTTCATTTTTTTTTATCCGAGATGCTATCTGAACATATCTTCACCAACGCTCATATAGCATTTGTGGAGAGATATGAGTGCAAAAATTATGTTGTCATTTTTTAATGATTTTTAATAGTACCTCGAAGCAACGAACACAATTCAAACCATCTGATGTGTCAAGAAGACTAATATGTCAGAGAATCAGGAAGACAGTTATATCAGACAATTCCTTTCTATAGCATATTGCCTTTTAAGAAATCACTCCAAAACTGCAGCATATACTGAGAGGATTTGGTGCAATGCGATGCAATAAAATTAGTAAGACTTTCATGTCGAAAGCTTTCAACAACTCTACTTATAAGATTATTAGTCTACGAAAAATTCAAATTGATTAAAAATCATGCATTAAAAACTCACGAAATAGATTAAATAATATGAAGATTGTACTATAGTTGACTAAAAAAAAGCGAACCTATCAGATAAATCTTAACGAAACTTGTACGGATTGATAAAAGAAGTTTGTATGGAATATTATGATACGAAAATCGTCGATATAATTACATATTAATAATCTTAATTATTAATTATTTTATCTTAGTATTAGGACTTAGTACTGTTTTATATTACATAGTATTAACAAAGAGTATGTTTAGGGTGTTGTGTTTAACTTGATAAACATGCAGCACTAAAAGTGCAAACTTTTTCATACAATATCCATATAAAATCCATACAAAAATATACAGAAGTTGTTTTATAAGTCAAAATGTAAACATAGTATTGGAGCATATATTATTGTTGTGAACGACAGTAGTTCAATATGGTTGACTTTCACCTAGTTACCCATCTACCTATTATTGTTTTTTAACTTTCAGCATAATATTTATAATACTATAACATATAAATGTAATATACATAAGATTTTAATACAGATTACATAAAAATATGAGTATATATGAAACATGTACTAATATAAAAGTATAAAATAATGGAAGTATCAAATAATGAGATATCATTTGCTCCCAATTGATTAGTATTTTTTAATAGGTATAATCTACACTCTACTCTATTAAGAGTAAGATGTTAATTAAGTTTGCAATATGTATTATTAGTAGTATATTTCACTGGATACACTTTTTAATTATGTTAGTAAAAAGCTATAAATATTAAATAATAATTTTTTAAATTAATTTACTATTCAGTACAATGAATTTAAAAGTATCTTTAATATATTGGGCCTCAATTTTCCCACACCTGATTTATTAAGAAGCAAAATTTAATATTTGCATTTCTTGTTTTTTGTTGCGAGTTTATTGCTTATTTCCAATTTGGGAAAAACCGTACAAAATCCATTCTCCGAAGCAGTTAAAAGCTTTACGGAGTCGGTATCTACTCACTTTTTCATTGTTGACTTGAAATGTCGAAAAATCAGAGAGAGAGAGTAACAACCAAAATAAAAAATAAAAACTTTATTTGTAATTCAGATGAATAATTAAGTTTATTATAGATACGAGTATGTTACATATTCTCTTCATATAATTTTCTTCATATGTGCGCTCCATTAAAAGAGTAACTGAGATACTCTTATATGCGCGATCACAGATACATTTTGAAAGTGCGGAAGAAACGGAATTTGTAATTTAAAGCAACTCAGTTGTAAACTTAAGCGGTTGCACTTGAACATATGCCGATATATGTACTCATATATGGGCACATCAATGCAATATATGTACATATATTGCAAAAGAACAGTTAATTAATTAATATTAATTATTGAATAATACATTTCGTTGAAATTTACATGATGCGAAAAGTGCTTACATAAATAAACCATTTAATCAGATACATGTATTTTAAGTTATTCGAAATGACGTGTATATTGCTTTTAAGTCGAATGCTCTATTGTCAAGTAAGATTATATAAAAATACAATTATTGACAATTTTGTAATGAGAAGTTAATACTTCAATTATATTAATAATTAAAATAATTATAAATAAAATAAATTAAATTAAATAATACATTATCAATATTGTCTTATATTGTATTTATTATTATCTAAAATAAGTCTAAAATAAGAAAAGAAATTTGGGGTGAGAAATCATAGACTAGATTTCAAAAACTCTACGTCACAGATAGAGTTTAAAAATTCTACATCACAGATAGATTTTAGAAACTCTACATCACAGATAGAGTTTAAAAATTCTACATCACAGACAGATTTT